AATCTTTCTTATTTTTCAAACGTGATAGAAATCTGAATGTACTGAGCACTGTGAGACTGTAATTAGTTATCTGAAAGAGAATATGGTTTTAACAAGTTGAATATGAACTTCATCCTATTCGCCTTTACCTACCAATCATTAGTTAAATTTACTGTACCTATTACATTTGTGACAAAGTATGTCGGCTTATTTGTGTAAATGGAGTAAATTTCTACCATCGATGAGATCTATTTTGTTCAATTTTTCTGCCATCTTTTGTGCCTATGCCCAAGTTAATCAGGAGGTAATGTGAATATGATGTTATTATGCAATCATGTTACTCGATCTAGTTGGTCTAAAGTACTGAATGTCCCAAAGTTCAAGAAAATAGAGAAATCCTGTTGCGATAAACTTAGGAGAATCACTCTGTTGAACATGGTATCTAGGTTTTGTAGTTATTAGACGTCTAAATGGAGCTAAGGAACAGGAACCTTATGAAACCATGCCGATTTTAAACTTAATTTTGTATGTATTGACCACAAAGCTATCCTCTGCCAGGTTTTGGAACACAGGTACAGTTACTGACACCGACACTAGCTGTATTTCTGTACCTGAAGGCGGGATTTGACTTCATCGAGCTAACATCTTATGGCAGTATCTTTCAGTGAGGATGGAGCCAGGTAAATAAACCACTGTATTCAAGGGTCTATACTCGAACATCTATGTGTGTGTGTTAGTACCTATAGAGAGTGGTGTCGATCAACTTTATCATAAACCTCACAGGTACATAAATATTCTAACAGATACGTTCGTTTTTATTTGACTATCTGAGATAACCGTAGTTTGGCAGACTACTATTTATACTGGGTGATGATTGAAGGTAGTAACGCCTTACGAATTCACATGGTAGTCAGGCAAAACTCCTTGATAAAAATCTGGTCAGCAGTTGAACCTCGTAGATCAATTGGTAGAGTATCGGGCCGGAAATCCGGTGGTCACAGATTCGAATCTGGTTGCAGCCCAAATTTCCATCTCACCTTCAATCATCACCCAGTATAGATACGTTCGTGTGTGAACACAACAGAAATGACTTTTAGTCGTTACGAGTGGCCTACCGCCTGTTATATAAAAACTGCTGACATTAATGTTCTGAAGGGCTTTTTTCTATTGCCTTCAAATGCGATGTTGCTTTTGTGTACCACACAACGACATTGTATGTAAATGACAGTGCTATTCTCCAACTTTATCTCCTCTTATTAAACATACCATCATCTCTGCTGTTTCACCGTCTAAAGTGACCGTCGAAATTACTATTCCTTCAATATCTGACTTGTGTTAGAATATCTTTGAAATTTCGCTAAACGTTATACTCATCTGTGTATTCAATGAATTTGAATACTTCGATTGCTCTTCACAATGGATCCAGTAGGTAGTCTTCGTTTGTATGGAAGTGTGAGTTTCTGGATTCAAGATCATGCAACAACTGAATTTCACAGTTACAGATTTCAAGTGAGTTGGCTGAAAATCAACTGTACTCATACAGATTTATTCACACCTAATCCTTGAAATTCCATCCGAGTGAACGAGTGAAGTCACTCGTTCGGTTTTGAACATAATGGAGAAACTAATATTAACTTCGGTTGAACCCTGATTGAAGGTATTTGGACATGCTAATCAATTTGCATACAAAAATAAAAGAAGCAGTCTGGATTCCACTACTGCTTTATATCACACTATTGCTTATAATCTTGATAGAAATGACAAATATGTCAGATGTGTCTTTGTAGACTACACTTGAGTATATACTGTTCCAGTGGGAGGTGATTCATGTCATGTCATGTCACTGAGGCAGGTGTTTCCCAAGTTACCGTTCTTTCCCTGGTCCCTTCTCCTTCTTCCTGGATGACTTGCCATCTACACCTAGCAAGAATTTTGTCAAATTTACACTTTTCATACCTGTCTCCTCTTCAACGGATTGTCTCCCAAATGAACGGTTTCCCATCGATTATTAGACAATGATCGTTGGTGAAAATGGTCGTGTGCTTATTTCTTCAAAATATCAGACTATATATAAACTTCAGTTTCAGATGATAATATAATATTCCTGATCTACTGTTGGTTGTGTATAAGAGAATGTTACAAGAGTGATGTATTTCGGTGTGTAATTTTCTTCAGACCTTTCCTGATTCTCCCAAATCTTGCTAGTTTCCAAAAGAATCTTCTGGTTAACTTTTTAGATCAGGAAGCTGAGAATATCTAGTATAACTCAGACTGTTGTCGTGTGTTATATAAACTCCTGCATCTTGCCTATTCTCCTTTGTTGTTCTCGATTATTCTTTTGTTGGGTGCTGGGAAAAGACTATAATAATGTATTTCTTAGAAGTATGCCACTAATAGATGTGGACAATCATGTCAACTCGTGAAAACAGTTGACAGGAGTTACTTTTTCCGATGATCAGCATCTTTCCCATTCAAGGTTCTCTACTTGTCAGTCCTCAGGCAAAAGGAGGAGGAGGTAAATGAGACTTTATGCACGTACTGCTACTAAATATAAAATCTCTACAATAGGGTATTTAGCTCGTATTCTGTGTGATGAAGAAAGTGTTAGAAACTTTTGTTTCTGATAGCAAACTAATTGAAGAGTAAACCAACTTGATGTTATTTATGTATTATGAAATGAATTGCTAATGTGACTATTTGCTGCCTAGATTAACTCTACAGTTTTCAAGAAAATTGTACATGAAGGAAAATACCCTCATCTTTCATATATTTAATGTCTACTTATTTCATATACATTTCATATACACACATACAGTGTTTTTGTCTAGTTAATACTATAAGGAATGCTGAAAATAATTCTGTAAAGTATTTGAGAAATATTTTAGAGGATAAAGCCATTATCGTTAGCACATGTTATTCTGGCTTTCTATTTTATCACCTTGTTGTCTACTGTTTAGAATATCATTGTTTTCATTATCATGCTAGAATTCTGTTTAGTTATGTCATTTTGAGCCCTTCCAGGTTATGTTGACGACTTGTCCATCAATACTTGTATTCATGAGAAAAACAACGTGTAGTGACTGTTTTTAGAGTGTTTTAATTCAAAGTGATTTGGCTGTTCATTTGAAATCAAGGGCTGTTAGATAGACGCTTCAATTGACTCTCTGAATTATCTCTTATGAGTTCAATATTTTGACTTATGTTCACTCAAGTGTGTACGATTAATGCTGTCTCCTTTTCTTTCATTTTTTGAGTATTGGGGAGTTGTGGGGATTTGGAAATATTTCAAGTTGTTATTCATCATAGACTGACATCAGTTGGAGGAACAAAGGAAACCTGAGAGCACTGGACAGCTGGTTGGTCCTAGTATGGGACTGACTCCTCAGTAGTGCTCACCCACGACCTTCAGGTTCCGTGGCCAGTACGTTGAGCCACTGGGTGAGAATCCAATGCTCCATATTTCCAACTTGTGTTAGCTCACGATATAGCACAACCGCCACCCAATGTCATCGTTGAGTAACTGTCCTCACGACCATCAGGCTTTGCCCTCACTCCTCATGACTTCTCATTGGAACTTTGGGAATACCTTTCGAAGCTAATCACCAGTGAGCACCAGGAATCTCATAATAGGACGAAACAGCTGTCCAATACTCCCAGGTCTCATTTGTCCCTCCAATTGATGTCAGTATACGATGAATAACAACTTTCTTTGCCTTCGTTTCATGCATCCTACAATTGATTATAATTGATATTTTAATAGCTCTATTATTATTATTATTATTATTATTACTATTGCTACCACTATTATTACAGTTTTAGCCATCTTCTTCTCCCCTGCTGTCTCTAATTACTGTCGACAATATACCACTTTACGTAACATTTAGCAATTATGTAAGAACTTGTTTAAAATTTCACGAAATCTTTCTACTTAATTAATCTATGCTTTAGTTAATTGTCTTAATTACCTGATCAATTATCACCTTCTTGATATTTTGAGATTGGTAAACTTTCATTAAATTTTGAGGGAGTTGTGGGGATTTGGAAATATTTCAAGGTATTATTCATCATAGACTGACATCACTTGCAGGAACAAAGGAAACCTGGGAGCTCAATGGTTAACGTGCTGGCCATGGAACCTGAAGGTCGCGGGTTCGATCCCAGGCGGGGTAGTGGGTGTGCACTGCTGAGGCGTCAGTCCCATACTAGGACGAAACAGTTGTCCAGTGCTCCTAGGTTTCCTTTATTCCTCCAACTGATGTCAGTCTACGATGAATAATAACTGGAAACCTTTCATTAGACAACTCTCACCACTAGATTGGTATGTAATTTTACGTTTTGAAAATACTACGTATGTTAGTATAGAGCCATTGATGAGGAACTTATTGAAACGAAATATTTCTTCGCTCACATTATGTATTTTACTAGATGTCTAAGTAGTTGTTTTCAACCGATCCGTCATGGATTCGAACTTTGGAGGTCAATGAAGACAGGAGGTAAGACTAGTAGCTGCCTAATGCAAAAATGTAAAAAGGTCTGCTAAGTCGCATTTCATTTCATCATTTGGACAAGTAATTAAGTGAGAGATTTGTATGAAAAAGTGATTGTATACGAATTTGGCAACCAATAGCTAATGCTTACTATCTTTATCGCCTTTTTACCTTATTGTTTACACTCTCCTCTAATCCATTTTCAACTTCCATGTTAATATGATGATTTTAAATGTGGCCGCTTAAACCGGTATGCAGCTAGATTCACTCTCATGTTTTCATATTAAATTGTACTCCAGTATTTAGAAAACCAGTTGTCCAATCATTCTTGAACTCAAGTTAGCGGCTAAATCGAGGTGGCACCCCGGGGCGGGTGTCGTTGAATCTCAATGAAAAAGTTTTTCAATATTTCCTGAAATCTGTTTAACTATATTACTATTTTAATCCAAGCCAGTAAATACCTTTGAATCACTGAAGTAAACATTTCATGATCTTACATATTGTTTTTTGTTTTCTTCTAAAAATTATTTTTAGAAAGGTCAATTTTTGGATGATTTTCTAACTTCCTATTACTTATCCTGTCATCCACAACCAATTGAAACTGATAACACTTTTGATGAACACGAAGTAACCAAATCAAAATCCTTGTCAACTTATCCATCAATTAATTCGACTGTGGGTGGTGTTAATACTACTTTCAACTTCTTACTAAATAGTAGTGACCATAATCCACGATCAAATAAAGCATCTATTAGCTCACAATTGACTATGCCCAAGTCAATATTCAGTCAGTTTAGAACAGATAAATTCGTTGTTGAACATTGTACAGATTATTACAGTCGTTATGTATTGAATTCTGTACAGTATAAATCTCAAGGTCGGACTAGTTTGGATCATCGTCTACGCTCTCGTGTCTATTGGAATAATGCTGGATTAACCTATGAGAAGCGAAAGGATACAACCAATGATGTAATATTATTTTTTTTCTTTCGTTTCAATTTTTATAAAATAATGTGTATCCCTTAATAGGTCTTAAACGTATACTTTCATTATTCATTCTGAAGCATAAGCTGTGTTCATAGCATTGCTCATGTACGGTGAAATTACTAGGTGAACAATGTCCAGGTCAGGTTAAGAGTAATCGATAAAGAAAGGAAGTCAGTCGATAAAGTTGTGAACCTTCATCGACTGAGATGATATGGAAATGTGTTGCGCGTGCTGAGCTACCATCTACCTTGGCGTACAATGCTAGGGGAAGTTGTATTAGGTTAAGAGAGGGTTCAGAATGACGAGACTGAGATGTGGCACCATTTTACGAAGTCTCTTACTGTTGATCTGAGATGTATGATGAGACGTAGACTAGCTGTCTGACTGTGATCCCCAAGACAATAAGAACCATTAGGTTGAGAACTCTCGATGGTACAGCTGAAAATCAGTCAAAACGGTGCGCGGTGCAGATGTATTCATTCTCTGACATCTTCTAAGGCTTTATTGTTTTGATTAGCCCCAATTTTTTGATTCTCTCTTCTATACACTTTTGTCTACTTGGATATCAGTCTTTTTCTGTTCACTAGTTCTTGTGGTATACGGTACTGTGAAGTGTAGCAACGTGAACTGACCCACTTGTGTACAAGGTTCTGCGTTGATTCTGTCTACTTATCTATTGAAGTATCGATTTAGTGTTGTAGAGCTTAAGCGTAAAACGTGATATCAGATTTCGTCTAGTTCACTAGTTACTAGCCGGTCCTAAACCCGGATAAAGAGGGAAGGTTTGGCATAGGGCTATAGCAACCCTACCTCGTAAAATCAATCTAATCACTAAAGAAACTTCAAAGCACAAAGGAAATATAAAAAATAAAAATAAACCTATTTCTTGCTGGAATCAGGGAGACGAAATGACGCCAGTTGGTGAAAGCCTTCAGAAAGCCAATTGACTGATTTGTCTTCTCTCGATGAAAGCGAAAGTAAACGTTTAGCGTCCGAGGGTGATGTGGAGCAGATCGTGCGAGGAAGACATTAAAGCTTCTGGACAGTCGTGGAGTCAGGTCCAAAAGATTGCAAAGAAGATAGTGAAATGGTGACGTGCTACTCTGAAGCCCTATGTTCCACTAGAAACCCAAGGGACAAATAATAATAGTAAGTGAATAAAGGGGGGGCGGGGGGGGTTAAACGTCATAGACACCCTCATTTCCGCTGTCACTTATTTCATATAATCTTGAGGTTATGTGTTATACATAGAATTATAAATTTTTATTTAGATGGAGGCAGTCAAGAAGAAGCCCTGAACCTCCGGGACTCGAACCCACGTCCTCAGTGCTCTATTCAGAGATGTTATTATTTAGCTATTCATGCCGAGTTTGCTTCAAAAGCATAACTATTATAAACTCTGCTCCTCCTATTGAAATCTTATCTTATTCAGAACTAGTGACCCAGGTTTTTGCAGCTTCCATTAATTCATGATATAATGTGATTACTGTCTGTTGTTTTCCATGGATATCAGTTTTCGTTCCTGACTTGCTTTGATCCCTCACGCCGTTACTTCGCATGAAAATAGTAAGGAAATTTAGCTTGAGGTCAGTAACTATTGAGTATTATATTCAATGGTTTACACTGCACAAATTATTGTCAAAGTAGGTAACTTTTGTTGTTATAATACTTTTAATTTCTGGTTGCTATACAGCGCCGAATCGCTCGACCTCTGTTAACAGATGGGCCCCTATGCGGATGTTATATTGGCGCTGGTGACTAGCAGAGGAATCTAGGACGAGCATTTCGTCCTTCGTGAGGCTTGTCAGCTGGATGTAGCTGCATATGAGTCATTCGGGCCTGTATAGTGGCTGGAAATTATAAATATCATAACAAAGACTGATACCCGTTGCATAAGAAGTGACTGTGTGCCACAGTGGCGCTTTGGAGTTTGAAGCGATAGGTATTGGATTTGAGTCTCTCATTTGGGGCAACATCACTCATTGGGGTGCAGGTACATCTAGCTGACGAGTCCTAAATAGAACAAAATGCGCGTCAAGCTGGATTCTTCTGCCAGTTCCCGACATCAGTACATTAAGGTCACTTTTTTCATGCGTTGGTATCAATAAAAGTACGACTGTAGTGGTGAGGGGAAAATTTATTGGTTTGATCCATTGAATCTCCTACCGCCGAGCTATTGTGGAGCTTTGCATCTCCCTAATCATGAAGAGAAATATAGAGGGGTCAAAGAATGTTTTGCTAGATAAATTCCTCTTCTGAATATTTTGATCAAGATACTTCGATTACATAAGACATTTGAGTGTCATTTTATTGAAGAAATTGTCTTCTTGTCTTTATATTTCTTTTCTAGTCCTCTCAATTATCAACTGTTCATCTAGATGGATTATCAGAAATGATTTTTTATCTCTTTGATAAAATAATCACCTGTTCTCCGATTTCATCATCATCTTCATCCAATCAACAATCTTGGTTACCTTCTTCAATTGAAACTAAAGTCTCTATAGATGCAACAGTTGAAAGTAAAACTGATTCTCAATTATCTACAGATATAAATTCACTAGACAATAAACTTTCAATAGATCCTTGGGATGTTACTAATCCATGTTGGAGTGAAGCATTTCTTAATGGTCCACCTATACCGATTGTCAAAGACAATAATAATAATAATAATAATAATAATAATACATATGAAACTATTGACTATCAATCTGTACAACAGCCAACATTTATATCACAGTTATCATCATGCAATAATATGAAAATAGATAATCAATCAACTAATACTTCTATTGAAGGCAACAATAATTTAAAACTTACAGTACCAATTTTATCAATCAGTTTACAAGATCTATGCTTAGCATTGTATGAATTATACGCACTAATTGGAAAACAATGTAAAATGTGTTTACGTCAATTGCTACTACGTATCGGTTTTATACTGATTACCTATTTTAAAACACCAATTGATAATTGGTTAACTAAATATCTTATGCTCTACTTTTATAATACTTTTTCAGATGAAAACTTCGCCAATATGTTAGACAATATAAAAAGTAGGTTGTATGTGTGTGTGTGTGTGTGTTTGTGAACGTGGGGGAGGGGCGGATAGAAATCACTTGGTAATCATAATTACAGGAAGATTTGCATTCAATAAGTAATTAATCCTCGCTTAGAACAGGTTTCATAGCGAATGCATAAAGCATTCAGTCACTGGTTTAAAATTCAATGATCTACGATTTCTTACTTCTGTTTAACTTGAAGTGGATGCAAACTTTGGTGGATAGTTTGGCTATATTGTAAGCGAATTAATAGGTGTAGGAAATTATGAACTAGCTGAATGGTTAAAATGTTCACCGTGAAACCTGAATGTTCAATTCCTAGTGGGGCTGTGCGTGCGTAATGCTGAAGAGTCCCATATTAGGACGAAACATGTGCTCTAAGGTTTCCAATGGTTCCCTATAATGAGAATACAACTTTTTAGGCTGTTGTAAAAAGCAAGGATTCTACACTATTGTTTCCTTTTTATCTTAATTTTTGCTGCATTTTTGACGAAATTCAACCGAATTCATGTGGATATTTAAGAGGAAAGTATGTATAGTGTTTTTTGAGTTCGCACTTACTCCAACTAACGCATAGTCGCTGTCCAAACAAACACGTGGAAAATCCTCCATCAACTCTATTCAGCGATTCCTGGTAGCACTGTGATCGATCTGTGTCCACTACTGACTTGAGGTCTATGGACACCACATCAGACGATATTTCTCGTTATATCTGAAGTTCGTACTAGTCAGAAATTGATGGGTTGTCTAAGCACAGTTGTGGCACACAATCACCGTTATCTGTTTATTTGGATGGGATTCGGTAAATGTGACTTCAGTGCCTTTTTGCCTGACTTAACATCCAGTATGCACGTCTCACAAACACAGCACCCATCAATGATCCAAAATGTTAGAGTTTTGGTTAGAGAAGCTTGCCGGCGAAAAGAGAGGAGCCAACAGTAGTGCTACATGACTGCAGAATCTAAGAGATACCTTGTTATGGCCGGTTGCCTATAGTATTTCTAGGCTTGTCTCAATCACTGAATGTTCTCCACTTTAAGAAAGGTGAGAAATGTCGTAATGGCCACAGTAGAATCAATCTGATGGACATATGGTCTAAGTTCTATAGTTATCAGATGTCTGAGTGGAGCTCGGGAATAGCAAACTGGAGAAAACTGGGGCATGTTGCAGACCTGCTCTTGGGTGTATCGACGAGAGGACACCCTCCGCCAGATTTTAGAACAATTAACTTCACTAGTTGTGTTTCCCGACCTGCTGGTGACATCTGACCTGACTACGTCAATCGAGACTTCTTATCACAGTGTCCATCTATTGCGCTTGTTAATTAGATACAGGTGGAAGCAATAGATGCTAAAGAAGACGCTCTACCTGTTGGCACTGATCAGTGAAATATCTGTCTAACCATGATGTTGCTTGTATTATCCTGTCGTTGATTGGACCTAATTGATCGATCTCTATTGGCATATGGACTCCTACGTAGGTGTATCGACTTTTCCTGTATTTTCAACTTTGATATTGATAATAGGTAGTGGCTAGCAGTGGCATCCAGCTTGACGCGCCTTTCGTCCTATTTGGGACTCGTCAACTGGATGTACCTACCTCCTAGTGAGCATTGTTGTTCCCACTAAGACTCGAACCTGAGACCGATCGCTTCAAACGTCAGAGTATTGTCCACTAGGTCATTGAATGGGGATAATATGGCAGGTATATCCAGCTGACGATTCCTAAATGGGATGGAACCTGGTTCAAGCTGGATGTCACTGCTAGCCACCACCCACTATCATTATTATCTGTCTAACCTTTAGAAATTTTTACTCGTCATATAAGTTATAACATCTGCCTCTATTCAAATTTATATCTTGTACCTTGTTTGTTTACATAACATTGAAACGCTTTCTTGTTTTCTTCCAGCAAACATATTTTTTCATTCTACTAAAAAGTAAGTACATCTGTTGTGAAAAAGAATGTTATCCGTGTGTTAATCATGTTTAATTTTTTTCAACCTGATACACTTACTTCCATTAAGTAAACTAGAGAAGTGGACTCATCGGAACGATTAATTATTAAGTTCTAACTGCCATATGTAAGCCATGTGGACATTAGGTGTAAAGTAGTAGGCTAGGAAAGTAAGTCATTCGATGAGATTGTGAATCTTCACTGATTATGATAGCTTGGGTGATAGGTGTTGCACATGCTAGACCACCACATCCATTGAAGTACGATGTTATCCAAAGTATAAATAAGTTAAAACCAGTCCGGTTCATGATACATTTGAGACTGAAAATGTGGTTCATGTATGGTATCGACTACCTCACTGGAATCTTGGAAAGGATAAAAATCAATGGTTAGAGACTCTTAGTGACGTAATTAAGAATCGGTCACGATGGGAAAGATATTTCCGGTCTCTGATGTCTTCAAAGTCTTGACTGTTTTCATCAATGTCTGTGTATGCATCTTGCCAATTCTTATACACGTTTATCTACTTTAATATGATTCTTTTTCTATCCATTTCTGTTTGTTACTTGAATGGAGGCATTTGGTAGATAACTCTACAAGTAATGTTGCAGTCAGACACGTTACCAATGAGCTATTTAGATCTGTCTTTAGCAATGTCCACAAGATTTTCTGAATAACAATAAAAGCAAAAGTTTTATGTACTAAAATCTATGCATTGCATTTTTCAGCACAGATTGTTTTGAAATGATATTTTGCCACCAGTGGTGTTGCAGTTCATTAATCGAACGAACATAGACGTTGTAGGTTGAATTCTCATATTTTTCTGTGAGATTTTATCACTGCAGACTGTTGATTGAATCATGAATTAATAAAATACCATTTCTACAATAGTAAGGTAGTTCTCATAATTTATCTTAAAAGATGAGTTTCAAAAGATAAAACTACTACTATGTTTGTCATGCATACTGTCTTAGACAATAAGGAATCCTTCTGAACTTCTTCTGACTTCTGTAAGTATCATGAACTTACAGAAATTTGAAAAAAAGGTGACCGAATGGTAATGTACTCACCATCAGACCTTGACAGTGTTCGGTTTCATCCCTCACAGGGTCATGGTTACACACTGCTGATGACTCTTAAACTAGGACAGAACATCTATCTGATACTTGTAGGTTCTCAATGGTTCTCTAGTTGATGTCTATCCATGATGAAAATCCTTTTGAGAGGAAATGTTTAGCTAAATCGTCCTTAGCTAAGTACTTGTTTAGAGTCCTTTGGGCTAGATGTTTTCTTTAAGAGGACTGGAAAAGAAGTCTCCTAGTTGAAATGAGAATTTTAAAGTTCTGTAGGAAATCGTTACTCTTCTGATTGTGTTTCTTTTTTCCCTTGTCTTTTCGGGTTAGGGTTGATATGGATAAATCTGAACGTAAAGAAAAAGCGCGTGCTGCACTTGAGAAAGCAGTGCTTGGTAAGATTTATTTCTACTTAATATTTTGTTTATATTACTCAGGCGATAAAGTGGTAAGTGACTTCGGCCGTAAGGTGTGTTCCTCCAACTGCCAAATAGTTATGACTTTAAGCCATATGGTAAAGATTGTGCGGATTTCTGACAGATCTCGAGGTAATCAATGAAAAAAAAGCTGTCGATCATTTTGTCTTAGTGTCAGTGGTGTATATGGCAGCAGATACCAGTCAGTATTGGTAGCCATCTTTTAATGCCTTTCTAAGTGTTTAGAGTGAGTTCTTCTCTGATCTGGAATTTTGGTTGAAAAACGTTCCACTGTCGTACTAGGTGCATAGTCACCAGAGATTCACTAAATTACGCAAATAAGTTAGATCAAGCTAACAAACTTTTGGGCAGACGTAGCAGAACAATTTAAACAGTCAGACAGAAACGTTTGTCTTTATGACATTTTGGCCTAGGTTAGTTAATCAGTTAATCGGCTAGTTAACTGAAAATGCTGTTCATGAACTGCACTGCAGTCCGTTCTGCTCTGTAATGCAGTTGTGAAACGCGGCCGTTTAAAGGTGAAGAAATGGAGCAATTACTGCGTTTCAATCATAAGTGTTTTTGTGGCATTGCTTGTATTTGGCGGAATCATAGTGGAAGCAATGTTGTGGTCAGGCGAAGGGTACTAGGTAAGACAGGCAAATCGATCGAGTGGTGAACTTTCATTGACTGAGATGGCTTGGATATGTATTGCACATGCCGATCTACCGCCTTCTTCGATGAGGTATGCTAGAAGTTGGATTAGTTTGAGCGAGCGTTCAGGGAAGGCAGAACAAGATGTGGCATCAGTGTATGAAGTCTCTAACTGTTGGTTTGAGCCATATAGGGAGATGTAAACTACCTGATTGACGTATTGGAGACGGTAGCAATCAGTGGTTGAGAACCGACTGTTGGTGATATGGCTGTGAATGGGTCACAGTGCTACAGATGTGTATCCATTCTTTGACGCCTTCTAAAGTTTGAATATTCGCATTGACCTTTATCTTCGAATTGTTTATTCTCTGACACACACACACACACACACACACACACACACACACACACACACACAACCTTGTCCACTTTCATATCACTCATTTTCTACCCACCTGTTGTTTGTGTACGAGGTTTTATGTTTATTCTGTCTGTCTATCTGTCTATATTAAAGTAGATGGTGTTCAGAAACACCGAGTACACTTTCTAAGTGATAGAGTGGAAGAATATTGAATAGCTATTGTCTTCGATATTAAGCTAGAAAATTTCTTCACCGATTGTATCATTTTAATGAATGAAGTTGTGACTCAGTTGGTTAAACATTTAACTTATGATCAACCGGTTATAGTTTTGAAGTTTACTCCCCTTATCGATGTTTTATCAATTGCCTAATATCCTCTACACAATAGGTAATAGGTGTACATGTAAATTCACTGTTTTATACACTAAGAAATGAAGTGGACCTGATGATACTAACTTCATTTATCGAAAGTTGAATGATTAGTGAAGTAGGACTGGAACGTGGGATCTACTGGTTGAAAATCAACTGCCTAGTATGTGAATATTCACTTGATTATTGTGCTTCATTCAGATAAATAAAGGTAGGCATTATCACTATTTGTTATTTGTCCCTTGGGCTCCACGACTGTCTACAAGCTCTCATTTCTTCCTCACACCATCTCCTCCATGTCACCCTCAAGTGGGTTCCACTCGACGACGTGGCCTGGTGTGTGATGTCCCCGAATGGTCTTCTTAGTAAATGCCCAATCCATCTCTACTTCTTTCTGCATATTTTTTTGATGATAGTTTCTTGGTTGGTTCTTTGCCAGCCAGCCAGCCAGCCAGAGTTTCTTGTTGCTTATTCTTTCTGATCATCTGATCTTCAGTAACGAACGTAGAATGGTAGGCATACAACTGACTTATTGGTTAACAATCGATAGATTAATTAGTTAGTATATATATAACCTTCATTTCTCTTTATTATTTACTTTTCTACATAGATATAACTGGTATTTCTTATTTAACTGATGTGGAAAAGATACGTGAAAAAGTGAATCTTGTCTTTGATTGTTTTCAATACTCAAAATGGAATAAACAATTAACTTATGCTTTACTTGATCAATTTATATTAGAATTATTCCCTGAACTTGGTTTCAATAACAATGACAACATCAGTAGAGATGTTAGAAAAGAGTCTTCTCAATAATTTCTTTCATATTATTACGATTATTATTATTATTATTATTATTATCATTATTGCGTAGTGATTACTTCACACCCTTTGGTTGTATTTAATTTCTTTTTTTTTTGTTATTATGGGCTTTTGTTTTCAACTTTAAACTCATTTCTTTTTTTGTATGGAATATTGTGATTGTAAAGAGGTTTCTTTTCTCTGCTCATCTGTATCCATTCATGGTATTGTATACTGGTTCTACTGAGATATGCAACAGATTTGTGTATGTGTATGCGTCTGTACACATACTGAGAGAGAGAGAGGCAATCTTAAACTATACATGTATGTCTTCCTGAGATTTTATGATATATTTCATCTTTTTTTAATTGACTGACTTCATCATTGCCAATGCTCATCATTATCCTCTGGTTATTATACTGGGTACTTTCTTTGTCAATATCATTGTTGTTATTCTTGTCTGTGTTTGTGTGTTTGACTCTCCTCAGTCGACTGAACTCAAATGATTATTGTTACCAAAGGCGTTATGTATAGCATAGAATAACTTTACACGGAATGTGAACATATCTAGATAGGCGTATCCACCTATGATTCACTTTTCATTCTCATTGAAAGAAGACGATGAAGAAAGAAGAAGTAGAGTTCTACACAAATTACTTGTCTTTTTGTAAATTTTTCACTTTGTGTAGCATATATATAAAATACTTGTGCCATTTCTGTTTCCATGATTGTTATTGTCCAGATATACAACATCATATATGATTGATAAAAGTTGAAACTTCTGATTTTGTTTCAGTGAAATTGTTCTTTCTCGTATAATCTAAGTTATGCTTTTATATATTATTGTTATCATTATTATTATTATTACTTGTCGCTTGAGTTCCTAGTGGAACACTGTTTCAGTAGCACGTCTCCATTCCACTCTCTTCTCTGCTGTCTTTTGAACCTGCCTCCACGACTGTCTACAAGCTCTCATTTCTTCCTCACACCATCTCCTCCATGTCACCCTCAACTGGGACGCCCAACTCGTCGTTTCTTATCTGGGTTCCACTCGACGACCAGGCCTGGTGTGTGATGTCCCCGAATGGTCTTCTTAGTGAATGCCTAATCCATCTCCACTTCTTTCTGCATATTTTTTTTGGTGATAGGTTCTTGGTTGGTTCTTTGCCAGCCAGCCAGCCAGAGTTCCTTGTTGCTTATTCTTTCTAGTCATCTGATCTTCAGTAACGAGCGTAGGCAATTGTTGATGAATGTCTGTAGTTTGTTTGAAATGCCTTTCGTAACGCTCTAAATCTCTGAACCATATAGAAGCACTGACTTGACTGAATTAGTGTTGAAAATCCGGACCTTGTTCATGCTTTATGTTGAGTGCAAAAGATCTCCACACTGGTTTCAGGTTAATGAATGAAGGCCTGTCTTGCTGTGTTTCCGATGCTGGCTGGCTTTAACGTCCTCGTCTGTGTCGCCTGGCTTATATATACATATGCGGTTGCTTATGCTTTGCCTGAGACTCATTCAAGTATCTCGAAGTTAACCGATATGTAGATTAAATAGTTATTGAAAGTCGTTAAAGTCATGTTGTTCGTCGTTTGTGATCACTCACTTCCAACTATGTAGCAGTGTTAAGATTTCATGTTATTTCGTCTCGAAAATTAATCGTTCTTAAAATACCGGTAACTTTCTCACTGACAAATTGAGTACAGACGATGCACCTCACTTCACGTGTGAAAATACGCACCTAAATATCTTCAATTTACTTATCCCTTCAAACGTTGTTGATTCACCAGCATCAGACAACATAAACAACAACAATAGATGCAAGTGAAGATAAAGTAGAATATATATTCACAACACAATTCACTTTTAAAGATGTAACCAGAAGGTGAGAAGTTCGTTTTATTCTGTTTGCCATTGCTCAGCTATATTCGCTGTCACCTATCGATGTACAAACATGGAATGTGTCGCTTCGAATCTTATCTAATAGCCTATTGATTTATGGTAACCACTGAGATGATGTGAATATGCAGTGTATGTGTGGAGTATTGGATAATAAGCTATAAATTTCACCGCAGGATGGTAGCTCACTTCTTGAGATAAACGATGGAAACTTAATGATAAAGTCAAGTATACACATAATACAAGGGTAATTGTACATCTACAATGACCTCGGTTATTCCTGTACCTTGTGATAACCTGTGATTTCAAAAGATACTACTAATGAACAACTTGAATAATTAGAAAACGCTCATGCTAGTCTGTAGTACTTCACCAGCCGTTTAACTCGTTCGAGTTGGAGAACATCAACGGTGCACCCCGACGAATTCAGCTCGCTAAGTCGAATTAGTTCAAATCACTTACATCTGGCTTGTATAAACCGGTAGTATACCTAAAATATAATGAAGAATCTGCAAATTTCACGGTCCAAGTTGATATTTCTCACAGCTGAGTAGTTTTTCAACTCCCAATGTGTGGTGTCAAAAAGGGTTTTAGCTGGAAATCACTCAGCCGAGATCATAAGATGTGATTTCTGACATAAAAGTGTCATGAACCAGAGAAGGATACTACTGCTGAACACGTTGAGTAGTAGTCTCTTTCATCTAACTAGGCAGCATCGTTTCAACTACAGGAGGTACAGATGATGACGTCAAAGCCACGATCGAAAAGACAGCAAGACAGGCTTTCCTTCATTGATTAAAATCAGCGTGCAGATCTACTGCACTCAGCACAAACAACAAGATCCGGATCTTCGACACTTAGTTCAGAAACTTGGCGCGTCACGAGAACCATTTCCAACAAAGTACAGACATTCTCCAATGGCTGCCACCTACGCTAACTCCATACTGAAGATCAGATGGCCAGAAAGATTGAGCAAGAAGGAACTCTGGTGGACAACGAACCAACCAAGGAACCGTCGACCAACAAATGTGCAGAGGAAGCAAGTGGAGATAGATTGGGCACACACTAAGAAGACCATTCGGGGACATCACGAACCAGACCACGTCATCGAGTGGAATCCAAATGGGAAACGACGAGTGGGACGTCCCAGTTGAGGGTGACATGGAGGAGATTGTGTGAGGAAGAAATGAAGGCTTCTGGACAGTGGTGGTGTCAGGTTAATAAACTGCTGAGAAGAGAATGGAACGGAGACGTGCAACTGAAGCTTTGTGTCCCACTAGGAACTTAAAGAACGAATAATAATAATTACAACGGTTGTGAGGTCAAATATACAGGTCGAAGTAGTCGATCAGGGTCAATCAAGCTATCCGAGCCTGAAAATGTAGCTAAACCAAAACTGTTAGGTCCCAGTGAGATGAGGAATATAGAAAAAAGCTTGACCATCTTCGGATGCAGCTGTATACAACCACACCGCAGGATGAGACAGTGTGAAAATTCCTAAAAGTAAAACCGCAGGATCGATGAAGAGTTTGTTAATTGAATCTTTGTTTATCGAATCAACAATTAACACTTGCAACAGGAATGACTCAGCACCTGTTCCAAGAATATGGGAAATCCTACTATCTACATCACAACGGAGGGGAGAAAATTAGAACTACATGTATTATGTCTCAAAGTTATCTTGACAAAACTGTGGGAAACAAATTGCGTCCGAAACGCAATCCAGTAAATAATAATGTCCAAATGTGTAATACACCAGATAAGTCAACAAAATGGAGTCACAATAAACTACAATGCCAAATATTTACCCTAATTTCGGTCGGATTACGACTATGTAGGTCCTATCTGTTACGAATGTCGCACAGGAAGTTAATAGTGAAGAAGTAGTATATGAAAATTACGCCAATGAATTTCCACTTAACAGAGGTAAGCTTTCGAATTAAATAGAAACTCTTCTCAACGTTCCGCGAAATGATTCACATCTTCCAAAGAATACTCAAAATATTGGAAGAGATGCACTCACTCCCGAAAAGCAGTAAGTTGCCACAGCTTGTCAAAGACAACTTATTGTTTATGAATGAGCATGTAGCGCCACACACTTCCTCAAAATCAATAGCCTAGGGTTTGGCGACTTTCGACATTGATGCTGACCTTGATAGTTTAACCGGACTCGCTAAGCTGAAGGCACTTGGTCAAGCATCCTTGCCATTTGGCACGCTGTCGTGTTACGTTGCACTGCTCGTATTCGACTCTGTAGCCAGTTAGTTGGAACGCATCGGTATCTTGGCACAACCACCCAAATATACTATTCCATCCGACTACGCTATCGTGTTCTTCCTTGGTCTCGTATTCGTGGGTTTATAACAAGTCCGAATAATTAGTGATTGGTCTTTGTGTCTGTCAACTTCGCACCAGGACAAATCCTAAATTGGTGAGCCCGGCGTGATCAAATATCCCGACCAGTAACAAATATTGAATTGGTGAGCCTGCTGCATTTTATATTTGTATATTGTTTTCATTTCGATAACATTTATATATCCATTTACTACACTTTCTCATGTCCGACCACACTCCCGAGCTAATTCATACTAGGCAGACTACAAAAACGATTCAACTCGTTCTATATTGGCCAGACAATGCGGAAACACTGTTTCTGTATACCGAGGCAGATTTTCGAGAACGGAGAGTCTCAGATCCTCATTCTCCATTTCTGGCCGTCATACGTTCACTACCGCGGGAATTGAACAGACATGTTACAGCACACATGTTAAGTCCTGAAGTAAGTGATCCTTATGCACTTCTCAAAGCCACACTCTTGAGGAAAAGCGATCTCACAGATCGCCAACGCCTAGACGAGTTACTTCATAACATCGAGTTAGGCAGCCATTCGGCCACTGAAGTCCTCGCACGCACGCGAGAAGTAGTCGTCACGCGAACATTTGACAGTGGCCTTTTCCGAGAACTATTGCTTTCAAAACCACCACAACCGGTGCAAACCGTGTTGGTGACACTGCAGTCAGTCCCACTCGATGACCTGGCAGCCTCAGCAGATGAAACACTGGAGATTTCGTATATCCTGTCTACGACAAACCAGAGAGCCAGGATTCAGAGTTGAGCAA